TCTTATCTTCTTCTTCTCCTCCTCCTCCTGTTATTCTGCTATTTTTCTCCTCTTCCTCCTCCTCCTATTCTGCTATCCTTCTCCTTCTCCTCTTCTTCCTCTTTTCTTCTTCTCCTCCTCCTCCCTCTCCTCCTCCTTTCTTCTTCTTCCTCTTCTTTTCTTCTTCTCCTTCTCCTCCTCCTGTTTCTTCTTCTCTTCTCCTCCTCCTGTTTCTTCTTATCTTCTTCTTCTCCTCCTCCTCCTGTTATTCTGCTATTTTTCTCCTCTTCCTCCTCCTCCTATTCTGCTATCCTTCTCCTTCTCCTTCTCCTCCTCTTAATAAAGCTGTCAGACAAGGATATAGGATTATCTGAAAACAGTCTGGCCGAAGTTTGATTTTTTTGCCTCCTCCTCCTCCTTTCCTCCCCTCCTCCTTAACTGCAGCTTTTCTCTCTCTGTAAACTTCCTTCAGAAAAAGCCAGAAAGTTTACAAAGATTCAGCAGAAACACTAAATGCGGCATCCATTAGTGTCAGCTCTAGAATCATATATCTTTGGAAAAAAAGACAGAATCCCGGTACAAATAGGATCAGCAACGAAACATTTCAAGATGGAGTGTTCTTGATGGATCCCAGCCATAATTTTTTCCCCATTTCAGAACCTTTATGAATGTCTTAGTGTACTTATTTTGAAATCTTCGTAGTTTCTCCATCACTCTTGCTAATAGCCAGATCAAATAGTGAATGCTTTTAAAGGATATAAAAGCTCATCTGAAAAACAGAAATGGCAAAGTGATTTTTCCCCCCTTTCTCTAGTTAGCAAGAAACTAACCAGAACTTGAAAACAAACACATGGAGGCATTTCTGGAGAACTTTTAAATTCTTATATTTTTGCCTCCCCCCCCCTCACCTCCAAGTTTGAATTCTGATAAAGGAGAATCTTTGTGGCTCCAGGATTAAAATGAGGGGTCTTTGGTGCTCTCTGAGTTGGGTGGTTTTCTTGCAGCTGTTTCGTTACACAAACTAGATCACAGCAGCACTGATAGCGTTGCCTAGTTGGGTAATAAAACATCTGCAAGAAAACAACCAAGTCAGAGAGCACCAAGGACCCCAAAAGACCTCCTCCTCCTCCCCTTTGCAAACTTCACTCCCTTCTAGCATAGATGATGTTGCCTAGTTGGGTAATAAAACATCTGAAAGAAAACAACTAAGCTCAGAGAGCACCGAAGTCTCCATAATTCTCCTCCTCCTCCTCCTCCTCCCCCCCCTTCCTTCCTTCCATAGCGCGCAGTGGTTAGAATGCGCTATTGCAGGCTAATTGTGCCAACTGACCGGCTCAAGGCTGACTCAGCCTTCCGTCCTTCCGAGATGGGTAAAATGAGGACCCAGATGGTTGGGGGCAAGAGGCTGACTCTGTAAACTGCTTAGAGAGGGCTGCAAAAGCACTTTGAAGCGATATATAAGTATTATTGCTATTGTCCTTCCTTCCTTCCTTCCTCCCTCCCTCCCTCCCTTCCTTCAGGTTGACTTAACCTTCTATTTTTTTATTTATTTATTTATATGCCGCCCTTCTCCGGAGACTCAGGGCGGCTTACAATGCGTTAAGCAATAGCCTTCATACTTTTGTATATTTATACAAAGTCAGTTTATTGCCCCCACAAACTGGGTCCTCAATTTACCTACCTTAGAAAGGATGGAAGGCTGAGTCAACCTTGAGCCTGGTGAAATTCGATTTTACTTTAATTGCAGACAGCTGGTGTTAAATTACAGTGCTTCTGTCTGTTGAGCTAAACCAGGCTCCTATCCTTCCCAAGTGGGTAAAATGAGGACTGTTGCGGGCAAGAAGCTGACTCTGTAAACTGCTTAGAGAGGGCTGTAAAAGCACTATGAAGCGATATCTAAATCTAAGTGCTATTGCTATAAGATGGGGCAAAACTCACTTAACAACAGAAATTCTGAGCTCAACGGAAGTCATACGTCAAGGACTACCCATACATAACTGGCTTATTTTTTCATACTAGATTGATCTTCCTTCCGTAATTTTCTGACAGTCCATTTAACTCTCAAAGAAATGGGTCAGGAAGGAAGGAAATCATCTCACAAGGCTTTTCAGGTCAGAAAGCACGAGAAGCTCTGTAAAATATCAGAAATAGAGAAAAATTGAGCACTGAGAGATATAATGCCCAAATATGACTTTTTCCACCACCAACACTAGAGGGAAGTTAAAAAACAAGCAAACCTGCGAAGAGAAATCTAAAAGAATTTTTTCTTTTTGGTTTTAAAAAACAAACTTTATTAAATTTAAAAAGATAAAATTATATAAAACATTCACAACCTTAAAATACAATCAACAATACTAATCACAACAAACGAATTACATATATGTAATATATATAAATACAAACATACACAGTGACTTATTTCCTTTTTTATCTTAATGACGGTGTATGATTATTACTTTTAATTTCTTACTAGATTTTAACTTTACCTTCTTTTCATACCAATTGCTTTATCCACTCATACCAACTATCCCATATCTTAAAATACTGTGAGTCTTCCTTGTCTTTCAATTTCAACGTTAGTCTATCCATTTCTGCACACGTATAAATTTTTTGAATTATTTGCTGCTCCGTTGGCAATTTATCTGTTTTCCAGACTTGTGCTAGGGCTAACCTAGCTGCCGTGATTATATGTAATGTTAGGTACTTTTTTTCTTTTCTAATGTTTTGTTTAAGCATTCCTAACAAAAAGATTTCTGGTTTTAGCTCAATATCTTCCTCAATTATTTCTGATATCCAAATTTTTATTTTTATCCAATATTTCTTAATTTTTGGGCAAAGCCACCAGACATGAAAGAAGGTTCCCTGTGCTTGCTTACATTTCCAACACATTGGGTTAAGATTTGCATACATCCTCGCCAATCTCACAGGGGCTATTTTTTCATGCATTCTGAGAATGAAGTAGACAAACCGAATCTTTTTTTCTTTTTCTTCCTTCCTTCCTTCCTTTCTCTCTCTCTCCCTTCCTTTTCTTTCTCTCGCTACCCTCCCTCCCTCCCTCCCTCCCTTTCTTTGCAAGGGAAGAAAACTTAAGAAACTTAAGGGAGATTTTAGCATTGAGAAAATGTAGCTTGAATAAATATTTGTCTTGCATATATCTTGCATCTTGCATATGTCTTGCATCTGAGTTGGACCGTTTCCCTTAACGCCTGTGGTTTAATGCTTTTTTTAGGCTCAACATATTGCATTACCATCCATCTTGAGAGGGTTATAAATACGTCTTATATAAACTTTTTTTTAAAAAAAAATGTAGGAAGCCCCTGGGCTGTAGGAACCAAAACTAAAAAAAAAAAAAAAAATACAAAAACCCTGCGGATATTTATGTGAAGCCTTAATTTGCAAACAAAAGGAAACAAGTTTATCTTTTTAATGAAGGAACAACCTCATCAGGCCTCTCTAACATCGATCGTTTTCAGCGTTCTTAGCGATTGGAGAGCGTGGCTCTTGGGAAAGGCTCACCTTTTGTCCACTTCATCTTGGAGGAGGGGGCGAAGGGTGGCGGTGCCCGGGGCATGAGTGTTTGATTTGATTTGATTTCGGAGCTGAGGGCACTAGGGAGGCAGACGGATCATGGGACACTCATGGATCGAATCCAGTTTTTGAAGGCTGTGTGTCTCTGGCTAAGGTCGAGGGTGGAAATTGCTGCACTTGCAAAACCTGAATTAGGCCCTATGAGGTTTGAGGAGGATTTCTATTTAGAAAAAGTCCAGATGTTTTTGCATCTAATAAAAGTAGCTCCTTCCTCCCCTCCCATCCTCCTTCCTTTTTCTCCCTTTCTCCTCCCTCCCTACTTTCCTTTTCCTTCCTTGCTTCCTCCCTCTCACCCTTTTTTCCTCTTCCTCCTCCCTCCCTTTCTTTTTCCTTCCTTGCTCCCTCCCTTTTTCCTCTTCCTTCTCCCTCCCTTTTTCCTTCCTTCCTCCCTCCCTTTCTTCCTCCTTCCTCCCTACTTTCCTTTTCCTTGCTTCCTTCCTTCCTCCCTCCCTCCATTTCTTCCTCCTTCCTTTCTCTTCTTCCCACTCCCTATTTTCCTTTTCCTTCCTTGCTTCCTCCCTCCCTCCCTTTCTTCCTCCTTCCTTTCTCTTCTCCCTTGCTTGCTCTCTTCCTCCTTCTCCTCCCTCCCTTGCTCTTCCTTTTTCTTCCTCTTCCCACCATCCCTCCCACTCCCTCCTTCCTTCCTCTTCCCCCTTCCTTTCTTCCTTCCTCCTCCCTCCCTCCCTCTGTCCCTCCCTCCCTCCCTCTAAAAATTGATCCCTTTGCATGTGGATTAATGGACTCTATTTTCCCACATTATCTCCCATTACTCATATGCAAATCACCAGGGGCTGGTGATGTACGGTGAAAACCCTAGTAGGCAGCAAGCAAGAAATAACTGGAGGTTTTCAAGAAGAGATTGGATGGGCATTAGTCCTGAATGGCATAGAGTCTCTTGCTTGGGCAGCGGGATGGACTAGAAGACCTCCAAGGTCCCTTCCAACCTGCTCTTCTGCATTCAAAATTAAACACCTCTGGGGCCCCTTCCACCTCTGTGATTCTGTGTTCTAGGACATTTAATAATTACACAGCCCATTCTCATATTCAAAACCGGAGTGGCCCTTTGCTCTGGCTACAGTCATTCTTTGTGTGTGTGTGTGTAAAAAAGTTTTTTAATTTTTTTTTAAGACAAACATTTAGTACATCATTCATTTCTTTCATGTGCCATCTCGGTGTTATCTCCAAAAACTTCTTCTTTTCTCTTATCTCTTCTATCTTCGTTCTCGCCAAGTCCATTACAAAAATTTCCCACTAATCTAATGTTCTAGTTGTAACATTTTTTATCTATCTCTATTAAAGCTTATTTGTATCTTTTTTCTAACCAATAGTAAAATTGATTCCATATCTTAAAATATTCTGAGTCTCCTCTTTCTTTTATCATCATAGTTAATCTGTTCATTTCTGCAGAAACTAAAAATTTTCTTAATTACTTCTCCCTCCGAAGGTATATTCTCTGCTTTCCAATTTTGTGCAAACAATCCTTGCAGCTGTTATTACATGTATAATCAAATATATATTGTCTTTACTAATTTTCTCTGGTAAGATACCCAATAGGAACAGCTCTGGTTTTAAGTCTATATGTTGTTGTATCATTTCCTCCGACCGTAATTTAATTTTATTCCAATAGTTCTTTGCTTCAGGGCGTGTCCACCACATATGATAATATGTGCCTGGTAACTGGTGGCATTTCCAACTGGCTACAGTCCTTCTCAACGACCGATTTTATCCGTCATATAACGGGCTTAACTTTTCCCACAGGTCTGGCAGTGTGGCGGGAGCATGGAAGTCCTGCCTTGTTCCCGGGTGGCTCATATTGAACGCACCAAGAAACCTTACAACAACGACATCGACTATTACGCAAAGCGCAATGCCCTACGTGCTGCTGAAGTGTGGATGGACGACTTCAAATCCCACGTGTACATGGCATGGAACATACCAATGACGGTAAGGGGAGGACAAGGCCTCTTTCCCACAAGTGGAACATTCCTGAATTCTGCTTATCAGCCAAGATAGTAGACAGGTCACCAACTTGGCGAAACCTCTCCTGAAGTACCTCTGCCTTTTATGATACCGCTCCAGCCTCCCTTCCCGATTCTGCTGAGATTTAATTAATATTTATTTCTGGTTTTTAAACAGCATCTGTAGATTCAGAAGCTGCTTACATGGCTTAGGAAGGAAGGGAAGGGAAGGGAGGAAAGGAGGGAGGGAGGAAGGAGAGGGGAGGGGAGGAAAGGAGGGAGGGAGGGAGGAAGAGGGAGGGAGGGAGGAAAGGAAGAAAGAGAGGGAGGAGAGGGAGGGACGGAGGAAGGGAGGGAGGAAAGGAAGGAAGGAAGGAAAGAGAGGGAGGGAGGGAAGGGAAGGAAGGAAAGGAAAGGGAGGGAGGAAAGGAAGGAAGGAAAGGAAGGGAGGGGGAGGAAGGGAGGGAGGAAGGAAGGGGGATTGGATAGATTGGTAGAAGAACGGGGCTGTAGACCAAGTCAACGATTGTGTGAACTGGAGAACAAGCTGGTAGAATCTGGTTTTGTAGTTTGATTCTCTGTTTCACAGAACCCTGGCGTTGACTTTGGAGATGTGTCAGAAAGGGTTGCTTTACGGCAACGTCTGCAGTGCCGGAGTTTTAAGTGGTACTTGGAGAACGTCTATCCTGAAATGAGGGTTTACAACAACACCATCACCTACGGAGAGGTAACATGTGAATCCCCGTCTCTCCAATCTATCGTTCTTTTTTGTGCTAGTCTGGACTGGTTTTGCTCGACTAAAGAAAAGAAGAAATTAGGGGTGACGTGATAACAGTATTCCAGTATTTGAGGGGCTGCCCCAAAGAAGAGGAGGGTCAGAGGGGGCGCAAAGTGCGTGAGCGAAGCAAACCGGTAGTAACACTGGTTACAACCCACCACTGCCCAGCTGACTTTCTTGTCTAAAGTGGGAACTGGAACTCACCATCTCCAGGTGATCGGTCCAAAGTCACCCAACTGGTTATCATGACTAAGACAAAACTAGAACCCACTGTCTCCTCGTGATTGGTCCAAAGTTACCCAACTGGCTTTCATGTCTAAGGCAGGACTGGAACTCAGAGTCTCAGGTGATTGGCCCAAAGTCACCAAGCCAGCTTTCAGACCTAAGGCAGGACTAGAATTCCCCGTCTCCTGGTGATTGGCCCAAAGTCACCCAACTGGTTATCATGACTAAGACAGAACTAGAACTCACTGTCTCCTTGTGATTGGTCCAAAGTTACCCAACTGGCTTTCATGTCTAAGGTGGCACTAGAACTCCCCCTGTCTCCTGGTGATTGGCCCAAAGTCACCCAATTGGCTTTCATGCCTAAGGGAGGACTAGAACTCCCCGTCTCCTGGTTTCTAGCCGGGTGCCTTAACCCTTAGACCAAAACTGGTTCTCTATATAAGTGAGGCTGCAGAGCGATGTAGAGTCACATCGAAGGAAGTGTGTCCCCCCCCACTCCAGCTGAAAAACACCCCCCATAAATTCAGAAATCATCCTCAAGTGCAAGAATCTACCTTAAGAATCAGGTAGGCACAAAGAGAAGGAAGCTCCTTTCAACGGGGGAAAGGCAGTTTTTGAGAAATTGCCAAGACAATTTTTGGCTTGGCGGCGAATATTTATGCTGCCCAGCTGTAATTGCTAATCAGGTTAGGAGTGTGATGTATAACCAGGCACCTTCTCCCTGCTTGTCTCCCAGAATTGCCGATTTCGAAGATAGCTTCCCCGTTATTATTTTTATTTCCCCCCCCCCATTAAGCCTTGTTGTCTTTGGCCTCTTGTCAACGGAGGAACTAAATATACGAGGAAGGATATAAAACATACCAAGAGGTTGTAAAAATATATTTCCCATCCATCCAAACACTCTATTTATTTATTTATTTATTTTATTTTTGAAAGCCTGGGTCATAAAAAATAACCAGGACAGCTTCACTGCTGAATCACACTCTGTGTCGTAAAAAAGACACTGGTTCCCATTTTAAATGCTGGCAGCGCATTTCGGGGAACGCGAAGGACTCCGTGCTTCCTGACCTCGGGAATTTGTGATGGGCAATGAAACGGTATTTTATCTCGGTCTTTCAGAGGAGATGATTCACATAACTCCTGAGATGCTCATCTCATCGAGCCTCGAGTTTGATTCTGGAGAGTTTTACCTTATTTATCTTCGGTTTTATGACTCTCGGTGAAGATGCCGATTTTAAAGGACTCTCGGCTGGGAAATGGGATAAGAACGCATCCATCTGCAACCGTTTGGGTTTTGATTTCTGGTTTATCACAGTGGAAGGAAGCCAGGCACTAGTTAGAGAGGAGACAGTGTGATGTCATGGTTTTGGGAGTTGGGAGATGGGTTGAGTCTCCATCCATGACCAAAAAGGTCAGACCAACTTCAAAGAATTCATCAATTACCAAAGTGGAAAAAATGTTTTAGATGCACCTCTTTCTTTCTTTCCTTTTCTTCCTTCCTTCTTCCTTCCCTCCCTCTCTCTCCCACTCCCTCTCTTTTTCTTTCTTGTCCAGTTGTCTCTTGAAAAAGCACTTTTGGGACAACCATAACTTGGATGACTGAAAATCTTCATAGACTTACACTCTCTCTCTCCCTCCCCTCTTCCTTCCTCTTTTTTTCTTCCTTCCTTCCTTCCTCCCTTTTTCTTTCTTTCTTTTCTCTCTCTCTCTCTCTCTCTCTTCCTTTCTTCCTTCCTTTCTTTGCAAGGGAAGAAAACTTGAGAAACTTAAGGGAGATTTTGGCATTGAGAAAATGTAGCTTGAATAAATAATATTTGTCTTGCATATATAGATGAGTTGGATCATTTCCCTTAACGCCGTTTCTCTTCTCTCTCTTTTCACTTTCTCGCTCTTCCTTCCTTTCTTCCTCTCCTTCTTTCTTCCTTCTTTTCTTCCATTTTTTCTCTTTCTTTCTTCTTCTTTTCTTCTTCTTCTCCTTTCTTTGTCTGTCTGTCGTCTTCTTTCACTTTCACCTATCTACCCTGGGTTTGATTTCAGGTACGCAACAGCAAAGCTAGTGGCTACTGCTTGGACCAGGGTGCAGAAGATGACAATAAAGCAATCCTCTATCCATGCCACGGAATGTCTTCCCAGGTAAAAAACACACCTTTGGATGTTCTTTTGAGGTTAAGTGAGACCTTCACCTTGGAGGAGGAGAACTGATTCTCAAGCTAGGTTTGGGGCTGGAGGTTTAGCAAGGCAGCACGAAGTCTTGGGGAACGTCTAACCAAACTAGAGGCACATTTGATGAAAAACAGGCCTGTGTCCAGTGGTGGGATCCTCCAGGTTTAACAACCAGTTCGGTGATCGCGCAATTTGCGCGTGCCCATGTCTGACATGCACTTTCAAGAAATCTTCACTTCCTGATTTCTTTGGAGGAGTAAGTCAGCTGATTTGCACAGCAATCTGCTCTACCGTGCAAATCAGCTGAGAAGATAAAGGTCGGAAAACAGCACGGGCAGGCGGATGGGCCCATCTGAAAGTTGGGCTGATTGTTGTAGCTACCAGTTCGCCCGAACTGGTAGAATCCCACCCCTTAGCCACAAAGTCAAGACTTCATGGGTTTGGGTGAGGAGGAACAATTTTAAAGAGGAGGGGATTTGAAATGAGAGCTCAATTTTTAGCAGCTCTCTTGTTGCATTTGTGGTTATGCTGGACTTAACTGCGGTCTTATTACCTTTGATTTGGTTTCGGTCTCAGCTTGTCCGTTACAGCACCGAAGGATTGTTGCAACTGGGCCCGTTGGGATCCACAGCGTTCCTACCCGACTCAAAATGTCTCATAGATGATGGGAAAGGAAGGACCCCAGCACTGAAGAAATGCGAAGATACGCTGAGACCAACCCAGCGACTCTGGGACTTCACACAGGTATGACAGGCAGGTCGGAATATACAGATTCGAGGGATACTGATAGAAGAGGATATTTGTAGCTGAGGGATGAACTGTGGGGTTCTTGGTGCTCTCTGAGCTTGGTTGCTTTCTTACAGACGTTTCATGACCCAACTAGGCAACATTATCAGTGCTAGAAGAGAGTGAAGTTTGCAAAATGGAGGAGGAGTGAGGGTAAGGAGGAGGAGAATAATATAGGAGATGAACTGTAGGCTCCTTGGTGCTCTATCAGCTGTTTTTTTGTAGAAGTTTCATGACCCAATAGGTAATGTCTTCAGTGCTATCAGTTTGTCCTCTCTTCTAGCACTGATGATGTTACCTAATTGGGTCATGAAACATCTGCAAGAAAACCACCAAGCTCAGAGAGCACCAAGGAGCTATGTGAGGAACTGAACAAGAATTTTTATTCTGTTCAAGTATTACACTTCCTAAGTCATTGCCAATTTATTGCCTTCCAAATGTATTGAGATTCCTTTTCCTACAACTCTCAACCCCCACGGGAGTTGAGAACCCTGGAAATTCCATGGGATTCTGGGAGCTGTGTGAATGCTGAGGATTCTGGGAGTTCTCAGAAATTCTGGGAGCTGAGGATTCTGGAAATTCACTGGAATTCTGGGAGCTGAGGATTCTGGGAGTTCTTGAATTCTGGGAGCTGAGGATTCTGGGAGTTCACTGGAATTCTGGGAGCTGAGAATTCTGGGAGTTCTTGAATTCTGGGAGTTGAGGATTCTGGGAGTTCTTGAATTCTGGGAGCTGAGGATTCTGGGAGTTCTCAAATTCTGGGGACAGGATTCTGGGAGTTTTTGAATTCTGGGAGTTCTCGAATTCTGAGAGCTGAGGATTCTAGGAGTTCTAGAATTCTGGGAGGTGAGGATTATAGGTGTTTGATGAATTCTAGGAGCTGAAATGGAGGCTGAAATGAAATTGGACTTACATCTCTAACCAGCATGGAGGGTACCACGTCAGGAAAGGGAAACATACATGAAAAGGGACACACGCACTCACATGTAGAAATATTCCCCAGCTGGTTCCTATTATTATGAAGAATCTCAAACAATTTGATTTTCCATTTAAGGGAAATAAAGCAATCAGTCATTTTGATTACATTTTTTTTTTTGACTCTTCTCTTGGTGCCTCCAAGCAATGCCAGTCCCTAACAGAAGATTCTGTGTTTTGAAGGAGAAAGCTGCATATTTAACTCTTCCCTCACTTGTCTTTTTTTCACTCACCTCTTTGAGGCAGCCTTTTCCTCTTGTTCGCATTTTGAAACACAGAAAGCCAGGCATTTAAATTCTTCTCCACACCAGCAAGTAACATCGTAAGTCAGGTCTCCACATTCTCCTTTTTTGGGAAAATCCAATATTCTAGCTATCTCCTTCTCCATTGTAACAGTCAGCAGAGTCATCCCAGCGCACCAATTTTTCTTTCCCTTCTAAATCCTACAGCGTCTAATTTCCATATTTTGCTTTTTTCCCCCCCTTTCTTTCCCATTTTCAGAGATAGGAGGGTGTTCCCTTCCTCGCTCCATCTAGTAGTAACTGAAGTCCTATTCAGGTCTGGCTGCGAATTTGAGAGTCCAGAGGCCTGGGACCTAATATGTTCTGATCGTGATCCTTGCTAAGAATGACGCAGTTAAATGTATCTCTAAATACATTTAGAACAGGGGTGAAATCCAGCAGGTTCTGGAGAACCGGTAGCGGAAATTTTGAGCAGTTCAGAGAACCAGCAAATACCACCTCTGGCTGGCCCCAGAGTGGGGTGGGAATGGGGATTTTGCAGCATCCTTCCCCTGGAGTGGGGAGGGAACTGCCGATCTTCTGACTGACAAGCTCAGCATCTTAGCCACTGAGCCACCACATCCCTTTGAATCTAGTTAGTACTAGTCTATTATTTAAGGTTCTGACTTGATCATGTTATAAGACATTCAATGGTCACACGGATCACTTCCCTGCTAAAGCCAACCGGAAGTCCCTATCTTGTTCTACTGTGATGGCTCCTCTAATTCTTTTTATTTATTCTTTTTAATTGGAAAATTTTAAAAAGTTTACATATATATCCCCCCCTTCCCCAACCCTCCCCCTCCCACCCACCCCCCTCCCTACTTCCCAGAGCAAAATACAGGGTATAACATTCAACAATCATAATCTAACATAGTCTAATTAATTATAACCTCTTACATCCCTCTAATACTTTAACTCCCCATTTACCAAACTAAATTTGAATACATAATAACATCTCTCTATCTATTCGTAAGTTATTTGAAATTTTTTAGTCCGGTATTTACTTTGAATATAATCTATCCATCTTCCCCATTCTATCATATATTTCTCATTTGAATAGTCCTTCAAATACGCTGAGATCTTCGCCATCTCTGCTAAGTTTGCTACTTTTAATATCCATTCTTGAATAGTAGGCAAATCTTCCTTCTTCCAATACTGCACCACCAACAATCTTGCTGCAGTTATTAAATTCAGGATCAAATTAGTCTCTATAACCATACAATCCGTGATTATACCCAACAAAAATAACTGTGGAGTAAACTTTATCCTCTTTTTAAGAATATTTTGAATAATCCACCAAATTTTTATCCAGAGAAGGAGAATATTCTTACAGTTACAGATGAGCAAAGGGAAAGATTGAATCAACTGATATCCGAGGAGGAAATTTTACTGGCAATTAAGCAGTTAAAAGTTGGTAAGACCCCTGGTACAGACGGATTGACAGTGGCTTATTACAAAAATTTACAATTGGAAATGGTAGAACCCCTTAGGGAATTATTCACTAGAATACAATTGGGAGGAGGGGTACCACCATCTTGGAGAACAACCTTTATTTCTCTGATTCCGAAGGAAGATCAAGACCATACCCAGCCAAAAAATTATAGGCCTATATCATTACTTAATACAGACTATAAGATTTTTGCTAAAATATTAGCAAGTAGGTTAATGTCAGTTATGCAACAAATGATCCATAATGATCAATCTGGTTTTATACATGGGAGACAAGTGAAAAATAATGTAAGGCAAATTGTTAATATATTGGAGTATTTGGAAAGGAACAACCAAGTCCCTGCGGTGCTTATATTTTTGGATGCAGAAAAAGCGTTTGATCGATTGAACTGGCAATTTTTATTGAAAATGGTGCAGAAGTTGCAATTTGGAGAATGTTTTACAAAATCTATTAAGGCAATATATCAAGAACAGACAGCGCAAATAATAATCAATGGTAGTTTAACAGAAACTTTTAAAATAGAAAAAGGAACAAGACAGGGTTGTCCCCTGTCCCCATTACTGTTTATTTTAACGTTGGAATTATTGTTGAACAAAATACGTGACTCTGATAAGATACGGGGAATTAAGATGCCTATAGATTACGAGCATTTGCAGATGACTTGGTTGTAACCTTAACTCATCCAGTGAAATCAGCTACAGGTTTAATGGAGATAATTAATCACTATGGTCAAGTATCTGGGTTTAAAATAAACATAACTAAAAATATGACAATAAAAGAAGAATTAGAAAGAGTAACAGGATGTGAGATAGTTAAAAAGGTTAAATATTTATGAGTTTATATTACAACTTCAAGTGGGAAATTTTATAAGTATAATTATGAATTGTTATGGCATAAAATACAGACAGAGATGGATAATTAGAAAAAATTACAACTGTCTTTGTTGGGTAGAATAGCAGTAGTAAAAATGAATGTTTTGCCTAAGTTTTTATTCCTTTTTCAAATGATACCAATACTTAAAAAGGATGCGAACTTGGAAGAATGGCAGAAGGGCATTAATAATTTTGTTTGGGCAGGGAAGAAACCAAGGGTTAAATTAAAAATAATGCAAGACATACGTGAAAGAGGAGGTTTGAAAATGCCCAATTTAAAATTATACTATGAAGCAGCTGTTTTATCAGCAATTAGTGATTGGATTAATTTAACAAATGAAAGAATATTGAATATAGAAGGATATGATTTGGTTTACGGCTGGCATGCTTACTTAGTGTATGATAAGAAGGTTGATAGGACTTTTAAAAGTCATATATTAAGGAATGCTTTATTGCGTGTCTGGAAGACATATAAATATGAATTAAATGACAAGATACCTATATGGACAGTACCCAGACACGTGATAGAGAATATAAGTATAAAACAAAGACAGGATGCAATTACATATAAAGAAATTCTTAACACAGAGAGAGGTATATTAAAGTTAAAGCCTTTGAGGGTATTAAAGGAAGAAAGGGTAATCCAAACTTGGTTTCAGTATGCACAATTACAAACTAGATGGAGAAAAGATCAGAACATTGGTATCATACAAAGTGAAGAAAATTTGGTAAAACAAATTAGAGACCAGAGTCAAATGCATATAAAAAGGTTGCATAATATATTGCTAGAAACAGACTCGGAAACAGAGTTAGTTAAGGATTGTATGATAAAATGGGCACAAAACTTTGAACAACCGATAATGATGGAAACATGGGAAAAGATATGGGTTAGAAATGTAAAATTTACATGAGCGCAAAACTTGAGAGAACACTTTTACAAAATGTTTTATAGATGGCATTTAGATCCCAAAAAGTTAGCTTGTATGTACCCGAATTTACAATCTAAATGTTGGAGATGTGATTGTGATGACGCTACTTATTTTCATGTATGGTGGACTTATAAAAAGGTTAAAGCTCCTCTAATTCTTGAGCTCACTTTACAGAAAATTTTGGGACCAGTGCTAACTTGTTAGGTGTATCCTCTTTTTAAAATTTTGCACAATCCTTTCCTCAGTTTGATATCAGCTGAAGGCCAATAATAAAACTGTGAGGGTCAAAGAATCGAGGCCAGGAAAAGATCTAAGATAGATATTTTCAGGGTTCCGAGGGATGCCCTAATTAAATCATGAGCCAAGCTTCAAAAGAAATCCAGTCATTTATTAGGAGCTTCATGTCGGCAAGTTCCCAAGTGAAGCCAGCTCTGACCCTACGTAATTTACGCTCCAATTATGACCCTGTTTCCCCCCTCCCCCCAGGGTGTGTCATCAATCACATTCGCCAACAAAGCAATTTCTCGGGTTGTAGAGGTCACTCTCCTCCGGCTACTGTAGGTATCCCTGGGATACAGCCTTGAGAGAGATAAGCATGGAATGTGCATCTGTTTTTGGCTGCTGTGCAGTTTCGCCAGTTTCCCATCCCCCTGGCCTATGGCAACTCGAGAACAGGCCAGGGATGCTTTGCGAGTTGACAGATATATCATCAGCTGCTTAACAATGTTGGGATTTGACCTCCTTAATGAAGATCATCTTCTCTGCATTTTTTATGAATATCATTTTGGAATTCTACTTTGCCAAATCGATGGTAGGGTTTACAAAAGAGCCTTAATCCTGCAATAGGTTTGGGGTGATTTGTATTATTTTGCTTTTCTTTGCCTGTCTTTGAAAAAAGGATGAGAGCTTACAATCCTTCATCTTCCTCCCTTTACAGAACGGACCCATCATCAACCGAGATACTGGACGGTGTCTAGAAGTAGAAATGTCAAAAGATGCCAACTTTGGACTTA